TGGTTGACTTTAATTCTGCACTGCACTTTTACTACAAGGATATAAAGAATAAATAGCAGATACTCTTCATTTACATAGGATTAAGTCATTCAAACTGTTCTCTCTATTTACAATAACATTGTGCTCTAGGCGTTTATTCTTTTTTACTTTAAATCTAAAGTCCATAAGGAAAAAGAAAAAAAAAAAAAAACCAACCCACACACGCTTTCCGAATAATGGAAAATAGCTTTAAAACGTTTTCTTATCAAAAAGTTTGGTTTGTATTTTTTAATCCTTTTATTAAAAAAAAAAAACAACAAAAAAAATCTACTTCGCCAAAGCGAAGCAACTTCTCTCTGGAATATAAATACAAAAAAAAAAAAAAGATACATTAGCAACGATCAGGGTAATAGTCTTAAAAATACAGTAGACGCTGATTATTTCACGTATAATACTGACCTTTTAATAGTATATTAAAACGGTGCCATATATACACACAATATACATTCTCCTACACGTTACAGTGCATTACAACGTTAACCAGAAAGCAAATGTCTCTTATTTGTGTTGCAGCAAAGGTCCACGTGAGTCCGCTGGAGAGGGGCGAGCGCAGGTAGGTGCCAGCCCTAGCAGGAGCACTTGCACTCCGAAATGATGGGGTACTGGATGGGTATCCATGTGCACCTCTGCCCTCCCCGACGCTGGCACCTCCACCTCAGGATCGTTAAATGCACGGACTTGGCAGGTTTGCAAACCATGCCTTCGGGGACCGAACAAGACCTTTTACTGTAGCAGCTGCCCACTTTGACGTACCGGGGCCAAAAGCGGCTGCCGAGATCGTTCCACGTGTATAGGACCGGGCAGAAGGTCTGGGACCAGAGCCACATCTGCAGCTTCCTGCGCAGCTTCTTGCTCAGCCTGTGCTTCTTGCCCGGCTGCAGCCCGTCGTAAAACTCCAGCCCTTTGATTTCGCTGGGCATCGCTCCCGAGGGTCTCTGCCTGAGCAGCAAGTCCAGCTCGGCTAGATCGTCCACGCCGAGCCGGTCCTCGGGCAAGGAAATTGCCATAAAGTTAGGGTCGAAGTGCCCGCCCATGAGGCTCCTTAGCAAGGTCTCGTTAAGATCCTTCTCCTTGGGGTCAAAGATAGGGTCCGGGTGCTCGATTAGATCCACCAAGGGCAAGTTGTCGCTGGGAGCCGGTCGGATGTGCAGATAGTGCTGGCAGGCGCCTTGCTCTAGCCGGAGACCCAGCAGAACCACCAAGGCGTATATAGTCACAAGGCACTGGGAATGATCCATCCTTGGGAGACCGGTGGGGGGGGGAGAGGGGGGCTGGGTTCACCAAACAGCAGGGGAAGAAGGTGCAAGCAAATGCATCAGAAAACTCGTACGGGGATATCCAAAATCGCTTGTCTTTAAG